ACCGATGCCCAAGATATATGAAACTGTTTCCAAATTTCCAGATAACCTTGACCGTAGTTCTCGTCCATATCCAAGAATCGATCCTACAGGTTGCTTATTTGTTTCCTCTCCGTGGCCTCGCGTAGCCTATTTAACTGTTAAAAGAACTTAATCAAAAATCAAGCTTTGAAAACTCCGTGTCGGTTTTTATTCTGCAAGATTGGCTCTATTGAAACTTCAATTTTATTAACTCTTCAAGTTGTTAACGCGACCTAGGCGCAAAAAAGGCAGGTAATAAATTGGGTCGCAAAATTAAATGCGTCGGAATTTTCAACAATCGCCATGAATGCGGTCGATTGGATATGCGGGTATACGTGGTAATGAGGAGGTTTCGCAAGCGAAGGGATACGCTTACACTTACGTTTAGCTATCCGTATTCGTTTTTTACTTACGTGTAGCGAGCGAGGTATGCGTGTCGTCTGCACTATGACGTCATATGCCACTCACTATCCGCTAAACGTGCAGACGACACGCATATCTCGCTCGCTACACGTAAGTAAAAAACGGATACGGATAGCTAAACGTAAGTGTAAGCGTATCCGTTCGCTTGCGAAACCTTCTTAATGACTAAGTGCCTATACGCTTTGCAAACCGCCGGACATGCACCGGTTAAAGGGTAACCCCAATTTAAGCACATTAATGGGTGGCATGTGTGGCTAATGTACAAATCACTCACCTCGTGAATCATGATGGTGTAAACCGTTTAAACGAAGAAGTTACTAAAAATGTGCTGACCCTTTGTCGGAAAATAGTGTAGACAACAATTTTGCTTGAATAATTCAAAAACTAGTTATCACAAACAGTTTGCTCAGCGATTGTGAGTGTCACGTTCTTTTTTGGGAGGGGGGGGGGTGAAATTGTAATGACAATTTGATTATACAAAATGTGGAAACAGAAATCAGGCAATTCCAAAGACTATAACAAAAGAACTTTTTATTCTTGCTTTTATATACTAACATGGCGTCAGTATAAACGCTTTTTATTTGTGTATCTAACTGATATGTTATTGCATTACGGGAGCTTGAGATTTAACAAAAATAAAGTTACCATAAACGTGGTGTGCATACGGAGCTTTTAAAGGGACATAGATGAAAAAAAAAATTGAAAACATCTTCGTTAGAAAGAAAAAAAATCTGCGTTCGAACGAAAAAAATCTGCGTTCGAACGAAAAAAATCTGCGTTCGAACGAAAAAAATCTGCGTTCGAACGAAAAAAATCTGCGTTCGAACGAAAAAAAATCTGCGTTCGAACGAAAAAAATCTGCGTTCGAACGAAAAAAATCTGCATTCGAACAAAAAAAATCTGCGTTCGAACGAAAAAGCTGTTTGCTGTTTGCTGTAAGCTGTTTGCCCTCCCTGTGCTGCCCCACCACTTATGTGGGTGATTTGTGTGGGTCAAAACATTCTTTGCCCTGAAAACTGTTGTACCAAACATGTAAAACGTATCAATCATGATGTGACTCATATCATGCTCTTCTAAGTGCAACAGTTTCTCCACATTTAACTGGTTATCCATGGGCCACCAAAAAACATGTCGGGCTAGCCATGGCTATCAGAATAGCCCGACATGTTTGTCGATTGCTATGAGTATGAGTAGGAATCAGCTAATTAGTGAATCCCGTATCTGAAAGTGAGGAAGCAGAAAGTACATGTACATGTACTAGTGTTAGACTAGTAAAATAGGATTATTGAAAGCCAGAAATGATCATATCAACAATATATACATGTCAGTCGCTTCTAAAGTTTGGAACTATTACAAGGATTAGGAATGAACATTTATACTGTAAAGGATTTGTGGATAGACAAATTTCTGAAAATCACAATGACGACCAGTTATATTTTTTTACCTGAAAAATTTGAAAGATAATTATATAGCCTTTTTTAATTATTTTTTTAAAACTTGCCTCACTTTATAAAAAGAAACCAAAAAGGCAAATTACTTTTAAAAATGTCTCATAAGTGTGTTGCCTCAGCAAAGCATAATGGGTGGGACTGATGGGGGGGGGGGGGGTTGAAGCTAGTATTGTAACAGGATAGGGACTCTTAAAAAAAGAAGGACAATTAGCTAGATCTTCATTGCAATGGTTAAACTTCATGACCAACTAACAGCAAGCCCTAGTAAGACCGTTTGAAAGCTCATAGACTGCTTTAAGACCAGTTATTGAAATCCCTGTACTTGGGCCACGGACCTACATTGGGCACATATGTCATGCATGTTGGACCTGAAAAAACATGAAACGCAGATTTTTTTCGTTCGAACGCAGATTTTTTTCGTTCGAACGCAGATTTATTTTCGTTCGAACGCAGATTTTTTTCGTTCGAACGCAGATTTTTTTTCGTTCGAACGCAGATTTTGTTCGTTCGAACGCAGATTTTTTTCGTTCGAACGCAGATTTTGTTCGTTCGAACGCAGATTTTGTTCGTTCGAACGCAGATTTTTTTCGTTCGAACGCAGATTTTTTTCGTTCGAACGCAGATTTTTTTCGTTCGAACGCAGATTTTTTTTCGTTCGAACGCAGATCTTTTTCATTCTTACGATGATTTTTTCAATTTTTTTTTCACCTATGTCCCTTTAAAAGCTCCGTATGTGCATCAGGCGTTTTTAACACGCTTTATTAGGAGTTGTCCTTGCGTCAGTGTTTGTTGGGCTCCTGTAGTATCTACACGAACGAGGGATATTGATCTGCGGCTTCGTTCAAAGCTACTTAATTTGTGAAGACCTTGATGTCGTTGGAGTTTTAATATCTGCAATGTCGGCTTGGATGCTTGCTCGCGGCAGACAATTTCAAAAGAGGCATTGAAGTCCATATTTGCCACGTGTTCATATTAAGGCCAAACTTAATTGTAGTTTCGGGTTTCTATGGCTATGAAAGGGAGTAACTGACAGCGACCAAGACCTTCACGTCAAACTACTGTTCCATTGCCTGCGCCTGTGTAGTTTCTGTGAGGCTGATTGTGTGGTTCGTGAACCCGATGATATACGTTTAGCCTACTGGCATACTGTTGTGATTCTCGATCATAACACCTGGTAGAATGGACGGAGCAGCAGCTTGGATTCTGATGGCGTCAGCAATGGCAGGTACGTACACTTTTCACTACACATATACTTGCCAAATCCGCAGTTAAGAATACAGTGAATCCAAAAATTACATTTGGCAAGTCGCCGCGGCCCAATTGTTAACTCGGCAAAAGTCACGTAGGCCTAAGTCGCAGTACTTTAACAAATCCAACTCTTTTCTCTTTGTGGATGAAAATGGGTTTGTTCGATTAACTTGCCCGTGTATACACCGGCTTTACACTAGAGGAAGACACGAAACGAGGCTATAAGCGACCGCTGCGGTGTAGTTGTTGTTTAATACTAATGTATATACCCTTATAGTATGATTGTTTCTGAACACAATGCTGTTTTCCTTATCTCATTTGGACACCTAAATATAGACAGCTAATTGAAAGAGATGATATGTCAATGTGAATAAAAGGAGATTAATATGCCAGCAACCTCTGTGTTGGCCAACTTACTTACATGTTCTTTGCCACTTATGTAAACCCAAAAAGGGCCGGGTTATTTTGACCATCTCTCAGCCCGGGGATTCCTCCCCCCGCCCCCGCCCCCCGCCCCCCCCCCTCCCTAAGATCTCAACCATTGAGTGACGAAACAACTTTAAACTCGGTGCATGCATAGAGAAACACATCATGAACAAAGAAATTGTGAGAATTCAGTTTTCATGGCGCGTAGCACTGGAAATATGTTCGCGATTCGGCAACCCGCGGTCCGATTTTTATATTTTTGGTAATCAAAAGATGCACAAGGCTCGAAGCTAAAAAGTCACAACAGCTCGGGTCGCATTTCTTTTTCAAAGCTATCGTGGAAACAGTTTGGGGGGGCGGATCCCGCCCCGGCCCTTTTAGGGTTAATTCATTTTTTTTATATTGATGCAATCACCTCAATGTGTGTCAATGTTTTAAGCTGAAGAAATAAAAACAATTAAGAATATAAAAAGAATAACAAATCGCACTAATTCGGACACATTTGCTTGTGTGCATTCACCTAATTTTGACATGGTTGAGTTACGTAACTGAAAATGAAATCTGTTTGTTTCTTTTTTTTGGGGGGGGGTGGTTGGGTTGTTTGTTTGTTTGTTTGTTTGTTTTAATGTCCATTCATACAACAAGTTGATACCCAAAATGATACAATATGCAAAATAAGTTATACCAATATTTTGTCAAGATTAAACTAATTGTAAAAATATATGGGGTGACATCCGAGAGAAGGGCAAAACCTTCTGTAGAGGAGCACCCCAGACTGCTGCCAAATTACAGGGGAAAAAGTGGCAAATTTCAAAATTTCAGTTTTAACAATCCAAGTTGAACTAACGTTGGCATAACATCTCGTGCAGAAAAAAAATTTGCTACGTCATTCTCATGGTGTTTAACGGTTCTTTTTACATTTAAATACTAGTGATGGTGTCGTGCCATCAAGTCTGCTTCATCGGATCGGAGTACAACCCACAATCTGGTATCCCGCCCCGTTGGTTCTTACCGTACAGAGATCTGTGCGATTGCACCGCTGTACGTCTCGGTGGGATGCGCATCCCTTCTTCGTCATACAGCCAGGGGGTGCCCTACTACCTGGACGAGCTGTTCCTGAGCGAGGATTCTGACGAAATTCATACCCATTTCAACTGTAGTCGCCTGACCACGGTTTCCACTGGTAAGTATAAAACCAATACATATACTATTTTACTACACCAATTTTCTTGGTTTCTCTTTTGTAACCCTTTGTTCATGGAATAAAGCAGTAGGGGGTGCATTCAGCAGCCATCTCGATTGAAGAAGGACACACACCTCAAAGATGACTGCAGTGCAAACAGTCTGTTGTCTAATGCATGTGTTTATTGAACGGTTTCTGTTATTTCCCGTTTGCAATCAACAGCTGAGTGTTTGAACCCAGAGTCACTTGGCATGGAGGACTGGACAATCCCTGATGATCGCATCACGGCGTCCAGCAGTAGCGGCGATAAACTTGCCAAGAAGGGACGTCTCAACAATAACAATGCTTGGCAGGCTGCAAGGTAGGCATTTGAGAGAACTTTAACCCCAAGCTAAGGGTACTAGCTAATATACCTTTCTCGTGGTAAGGCATATTGACATCAAGGTGAGGTTTATAGCGCCAACAAACTTGGCGGCGTAAATAAGGTGTGTGGTGAACAAGTGAATCTCGTCAAGTTACAGCAGATTGATACTATTATGAAAGAATAGATAGCTCACATTCCCCGAGATATCAATCGAAACTCTTGGTATGTATTTGTCTTATTGTATTTTACAGAAGGATATTTTATATATAAAGCAAAACAAAACCAAAAAGTGATCAAACTGAAGTTCCCGTGTTTTGAGTTTGGTTTAACACGCGTAGCACCGCCGTCAGATCAGTTAAACGATCGAGACTTTCTCTTTCCACTATACCACCCACGCTTTTTTTCTGAGCTGAAATCACATTTGGTTGAGGAGGCACTTATATCAGGGGATATCGGCGAATTGTAATTGCCACAGGACCTGTCATTTTCCAGAATTAGTGGAAAATGGATCCCGATACGAACAAGAATAATTTATCTTGTGTTACTATACTCTCGAGGACAATGCCTAGTGTTTCCCTTTGTCCCTGTAATATAAAGCTCTCTCACAGACTAAGCACAGAAACTTACTTCAGAGGACCCAACTCCTGAGGACTGAAAGGATTTGTTGTTCTACCTTTGTGTGTCGGTCCTCGGGGTTATGTAGAACACGTAAACAATGACGCGACGTTTTTGTTGTACCCCTCTATTTTGTTGAGAAGACGTGTGTTAATGTATCGTATGACACTTACCGTGGAGCTATATAAACGCGAAATCGAGTCAGAGCACAGTGCATGACCGAAATTTCTTCCAAGAACTTGAGAAACTTGCCAATTTCCTCTTTATTTCCGGAAATGACAATTATAATTCGCGGATAGTCTTATAGTATAGGTCGTTTTGGTCGTTTTCTTATGATCAGACATCGGTGCTAAGCGTATCATTGCACCAATTTCAGACACGGAAACTTCAGCTTAGCAATGGATTGAGCTTTCCTTCTTTGACATACAATAAACTTGACCTTAGTATATTGAAAGTTGATTGATGTCTAAGTGTATTTCAGCTATAAATCCATTTTATCTGAGTGTCAATCTGGTGTAACTTCCGAGAGTCAATGCACAGACTAGTTACGCCACCTTGATTGTTGGCGTTAGATGCTTTGATTTTTTAAATCAAGTACCCGATCCGGAAAAAAGTCTATTTGTTCTAAAAAAACACTGTCATTTCATTTCACTAATCTAACATCTTCATTCACTCTGTGTACATAGCGAGACCAACGCCTGGATTGAAGTGGACCTTGGTGAGAGTACAGTGGTATCAGGTGTTATCACACAAGGCGCGTTTGGTTGGTATGTGAAGCATTACAAGGTGGCGTATAAGAAGCAGCCCTCATCAGACTATGAATATGTGATGGACGGAAACGGAGACAACAAGGTAATTTATCAATAGTTGGACTTGTGATACAATGTATCTCCAGTCTTAACGTTCTTATACATTTTGTGTGTTCACTTCGTTTGATCTCTGGCTGTCTCGAATGCAGTTGTTGTACCTATTATGTTATATCGTTATTTGCTCTTGAAACCTGTGAATTTTGACCTCGCCGTAACTTCTGTACGGATCTAATACAGGAATAGATTTTTAAAGTACTTTATCTTTAACACACCTACATTTTATTTCCCCGTTCATTTGAAACAACTTGGTAACTTTACCTGAATCTAAAAATAAAAGAAAGACGTAGACAAATATTATTTTGGGAGTCTTTGTTTGTGTGTATTTGCTGATAATGCTGGAAAGGCATTACATTTACTGTGTGGACTTCCGAACAAAAGAGGTCCACATAAACCAGGCAGAGGCGATGATGAGCTTGTCTTACATACGCAGTGTGGACTTCCGAACAAAAGACGTCCACATAATGTAGGTAGCACCGACGAAGTGTGGACTTGCCCACGTCCACACAGTGTTTCCCCATTTCTGGAAAACAGGTTTAGAGGCATTTTTGGGTTAGGTTTATCTGTAGCAGAATGAAGAGAAACACTAAAGGGAATCATTGAAAAAAAATTGGGTTGTAAGAGTTTTCACAGTTTGAGAAAAATGAGTTTTTCCACTGGTGTTCCTTAACTACACGAAAAGAAAGGAAAGTCCACACTAGGTATGTGAAACAAGTCTGTGTGTGTGGACGTGGGCAAGTCCACGCAGTGTTTTTCCATTTCTGGAAAACATGTTTAGATGCGTTTAGGGGTAATAGGCTTATCTGTGGCAAAATAAATAGAAACACTAAAGGGGACTTTAGAAAAAAAATGTGTTGAAAGAGTTTTCACAGTTTGAGAAAAGTGAGTTTTTCCACTGGTTTTCCTTAACTACACGAAACCAAGGGAATGTCTACACTTGGTATGTAACGTTAACATGCGTGTGTGTGTGTGTGTAAGGAGGGGGGGGGGCTGAATTGCTATTTAAACCTAGATCAATAACCATATATCTACGTCGGTTTGTTCTCCAAATGCAGTCGTAACAGTGCCCTCGCCCGCTTCGGAATAAAGCCCAATTTCTACCTTTAGACGATTTACAAACTTGGGTTGTTCATCTTCTCTTTTTCGTTTCAGGTGTTCATTGGAAACTTTGATGTCCACACCCCTGTCAGTAACATGTTTGATGAAAGTGTGTCGGCCACGGTAGTGCGCATTGAGCCTAATAAATGGCACCATCATGTTGCTATGCGATTGGAATACAGTGGATGTCGCCGTGGCTAAATCAGTTGAAGAATATACTGCGATATTACACGCATTTAATGGTCCAAGCATTTGATACCATCAAAATATACTGATTCAGTTCGTAACAGAGAAATGAGCAGGTTCAATTAAATAATGTAACAAAATATAAATATAATTGAAGACAATCTCAGTAAAGAGCTGCGTGTTTGATCATTCAGAGTGACAAAATCCTTGTTATGGAGGAAACGTAAACGAGGCCTTTTTAATTACAGATATTATTATGGAAGTTTATTTCCAAAATGTAAGTTTAAAAATATTCACGGTATATACGTTTATAGCTTAATAACTTTACTCATTTTTAGTCGACAATTTTCTAGATTCACTGACAGATATACTGGAATCGTTTGTTTAGATGATTATTTTAGATAATTAAACATTTTGATAGGTTTACAGCTTTCGGAATTCTAAGAAATCAATCTGGTATTTTATTTATTAGAGATATAATCGCAACACTATGTTTCTTTTATTGTGCAATCTGTAATGGTTTGTACATCCGTAAAAAAAAAAAACAGCTGTAGCAAAAACTGGATGGGGCTATAGCCTCATTCGACTCTAGTGGCGCACTTTTACCCTTTTCGTTTTCCTAAGTAACGGACGAGAGAAAAGTGTTACCAAGCGGTTAACAAACAGGAAATAAGGGTAACAGTAATGTAGAATGAGAAGTCCACAGAGCAATATGTCAGATATAAACAAATTTATTTACCCGAAAGATTCACAAATTTCTATTGCGTCTGTGCACATACACCAAATTTAATTATTCGTGTACATGTATTTTACGACACATGAACACATATCGAGTTGTATCGATGTACGGACGGGTACTTGTTATCGGAAAGATTCCAAAATCTGGCCATCACTTGTCAACCTGTGCAAAAATCCTAAATGACTGGTCTAAATATTTCTAATTGTTTTTTTTTTCAGTAAATACTTCAATATTTTCACTATTTCTTTGCAATATCACTTTCTGATGGTTGATAGGTCACTGAAGGGAAAAATCAGTGAAGGCTAGATGTGGGAATCTTTCCATGTTGTTTTATGACACATGTGCACATATCGTCACCGACACCACGAACTGACACCCACTGCATCACATGTGTACAAAAAAAAATAAAAATTCAAATTTTCTTTTTTTGCACATATTAGCAGTTTGTATCATGAAGTTTAACATGACGAGGTTAAAATTGCTGAAATCATCTAAAATAAGCGAATTTTACTAATGAATTTTCAAGAAATTTGTCAATTCTGGTATTTTTGGTCACCACGAAGTGACACTGCACAGGGTGTCAGTTCGTGAAAACCAAAATGTACGTGTTTTCGGAGAGTGCGCGCATGCAATAGCGTTAGTGAGTGTCAGTTCGTGAAAACCAAAATTGACGCGTTTCGGGAGAGTGCGCGCACGCATGCGCAGTGCGTGCGCGCACTCTCCCAAAACTGGTCAATTTTGGTTTTCACGAACTGACACTCACTAACGCTATTGCATGCGCGCACTCTCCGAAAACACGTACATTTTGGTTTTCACGAACTGACACCCATCTTAATCATTTAATTGCTAATTAACTAAACAGATTTTTACAATATAACGTTTATAATTGAGTAGTGAAAGCATTTTTACGTTGAATGATACTAAAACCTCTAAGATAAATGGAGTATTTTACTGACTAAATTCGTGTCAAACCTTTAAAAGCGTTTTTCTCCGATTTGTATTTCTGCAACGCTGACCACCGGGTGTCAGTTCGTGGTGTCGGTGACGATATCAAGCTTATCAATGTACGGTACATGTTATTGTATGACACATGTGCAAATATCGAGCTTTATTAATGTAGCCTACATTTTTTTTTTATGACACAAGTGTACATATCGAACTTTATCAATTTACATGTACATGGTATTTTATGACAAGTGCACATATTGAGTTTGATCAATATACATATTATTTTGCAACACATGTGCACATTCGTTCACTAACTTTAGGAATATATCATCGTTTCCCTTTTCGCTGTAGTTCTGGCATATTTAGTATGTCAGCGCAATTTGTTTTAGAGCTTTCACTTTAATTACAGCAAGCACAATTATGTTTTATACAGTGTACTATTTACAATCAAATTTAACCGTATCAGAAATTAAAATGGTTGAACACTGTAGCAGTAACTTCTGTATGCTCCAGATTAGTCTATTTTTCAATGTTGTATCCATTATCGTTCTTTGCATGTTTAATTACCTGTCTATGTTTAGGGAATTCTGTATATTCGAATCCTTGTTCATTTACGAAATTCGTTTAAATACAAAACACGGTTATGCTATTAGCACAAGAGATATCAACCAGATAAAAATCTCACATGCATACGTTTCAAGTCTACTTTAAGTGTGCATGTTTTCATCTCCACTTCAAATGTGTATGCTTTCAAGTCCACTACCACATGTGTGTTGCAACTCCACTTCAAAATGTATGTGTAACTTGTCTCTTAGTGTCCTTAAATACTGGACGTCTACAATTGCTAGCAGAAATGCATTAAATGTTTGCTAAATACAACTTAAATGTCTATGAATTAAAGTTGATACCCAACCTTCCACGACCTGACTCAGTGATCCACGCGAAGTGTGAACATGATGCAGAACAAGATGCAGTGTCGCAAGCAAAACTACGCTACGAAGTCGCTACATTTTAGGTGTGCTCTAGACGAAGTTCGGAGCCGATACTTTCTAATAGCTGGCACTCACGGTACACGGAATCATGATGATACTCAATAAAAGTAGAATTCACCACAATTTGCATTCATTATGTCAAATAAGTATCCCACATAAAAACCTCGTCTGAAAATAGTAAAAGTTGTGAATAATTAAAAAAAATACAAATATTGATAAAAAAAGCAGTTCGCTAGGTAATTTTGGGTATCTAGCCTTTTTTATTGAAACGAATACAATTTGTTAATCTAAAGAAAGGGAATCGTTTAACCTCTGGTACACTAACATTGCATCATCTTCAACACTGTGTAAATGCTAAGCGCTACCAGAACTAGAGATATCAAATAAAATTATCATAAATATTGTTTGCTTGGACGTCTGTATAAAACGCGTTCTTATGTATGGTTCTTGCATGGCTAATTGTTGTGTTCCTGTGGTGTATACAGAATATGCGAATATTGATCTGCGACTGCGTTTCAAGTCAATTCATTTTGCGAAGACTTTGATACAGTTGCAAAAAAAATATGCAATTTCTGCACGAATGGTTGCTCGCGGCAGACCATTGCAAACGAGGCATTGTTGTCCATATTTCCTGACCCCTGTTTTAGGCCACACTTGATTGCAGTGGTTATGACAGGAAGAGCTGGCGTTATTGCGCAGTGCTGCATGGCACCATTATTGATTCCGTATAGATATATTGCGCCTACGGTCGAGGTTGTAGATTTTCTAAGATTCTTTGCTACTGACGGAGACCAAGAGTTTTAAACGGCTACTGTACATAAGATAGACCCCTCCTACTGAGTGACACCTCAAGCTAATTTAAAAAAAAGGCATCGGCTGTCAATGACGTCAGACGATTCCGTGGTCTGCGGCTGCGTAGTTACCGCGACGAGTTTGTGCGGTTTGTGCACTCGGTGATACGACTATCCTAACGGATTCTTGATCATTGTATCTTGGAGAATGGAAGTGGCAGCAGCTTGGATCCTGGCGTCGTCAGCAATGGCGGGTACGTACGTTGTTCACAACTTGCCAAATCCAATTCACGAATACACTGAAAAAAAATTGCCTGGGTTAATTTTACCCAAGAAAGGGTGAAAATGCAACTAGCCATAATTGGGTTTTTCTATACCCAATTGTTTGGGTTAGAATTTCTGTAAAATTCAACTAAAACTTGTGGTAATATTAGACCAAATATAATTTGTTATTGTATGAGTACAACTTTTGGTTGAATTTAGGAGAAATTCTAACACATACAATTTGTTATTCATCAACCCAATTTTGGGTAGTTGCAGTTTTTGCCCTTTCTTGGGTGAAAATAACAAAGGCAATGTTTCGGTGTACAATGAAATAAAATGTTATTTGTAATACTTCAACGCAGTTAAATCATTCACATGTGTCTGTAACTCGGCAGGGCTTTTAATGCAACAATAGGCCTGAGACGTAAAGACGTCGACCTTTGTTTACATGTGCGTTTTCCTATTTAGTAGACGGTCCCCATTTTCTCTGGCGTCCCGACTTCGCTCCCATAGGAAACCACATATGTAAACAAAGCAATTACGTCAATACGTCTTAGGTCTATTGCAGTGTAATTTCAACACCGTTTGAAACTTTTACATCGGTGGCCCTATACAGATAAAACGGGTGTTTAATTTGACACTGCTGTTTTTGAAGGATTCAAAACTGTAGACGGGTGACCTGATGATGATTTAAGTATTTTTTCAGAAGTTCGTTTCTGAGCAGCATTCGTTTTCGAACTGAATACTTTAAAGAACAAAACAAAATTCCCCAAAATAATGATGAAATATAATTTGGTAAATTGTTGACATTGCGATATATTTTACTTAAATTGATTAAATATTATTAGAGCTTCTAACTCTTAAATGTATATCTGTTTTGATGTCATGAAGTTGTTTTCTCGAAATTGTTTTCCTGAAGTGATTGCTTTCGAGCATTCATTTGAAGGACGATTCTTCATGAATCTTGCTTTCCGTTAAAAGTCATTTTAGTCAGTCTTTCTAATAAACCAAGTTAGACATTCGGTTTGGCATGGACTCACGCCCTACAAACGCCAGCAAACGCCAGCATGCAAAATTCATAGCGTACTCATGGTTTTGTGATTTTTGTACCTAGTGATGGTCTCATGCCATCAAGTCTGCTTCATCGGATCGGAGTACATCCCACAATCTGGTATCCCACCCCGTTGGTTTTTACTGTACAAAGATCCGTGCGAATGCACCGCTATACGTCTCGGTGGGATGCGCAATCCTGCTTCATCATACTCTCAGAGGGCGCCCTACTACCTGAACGAGCTTTTCCTGAGCGAGGATTCTGACGAAATTAAGACCTACTTCACATGCAGTCGCCTGACCACAGTTCGTACAGGTAAGGCTTCAACGAATATGGCGGTTTTACTGATCACGTACTGTTTACCCTACTGCATTTCAAAACAACAACAGCACATACCACAATATGAGACTAAAGCTATAATACAAGACGCTTGTGTTAGAAATGGTGTGCCTGCAGAAACAAGTAATCAAATAAAGTTGGTGCAATTGACTTTAGTTAACTTAAATCGTTGAAGTCGTTTTTCGGAAATGTTTGCCTATGTTTCAGAGCGCATGACAATTTGGCCAATTATGTAACGATTCCTCGTATCTCCCTGTTTACTAGCGACAGCCGAATGTCCAAGTCCAGCGCCCCTTGGGGTCGGGGACAGGGCAATAATCCCCGATGATCGCATCAGAGCGTCAAGCAGTGATTGTTGCCCGGCAGTGTGGGCCCGTCTCAACGACGTGTCTTCTGGATGGTCACCCGCAATGTTGGTATAACAAAGAGAAGTACACCAACATTCGCGCACTTCAGCCCTTTAAAACCACAGTGCGCCCAACTCACATGATTGATGACATATATCGTGACACCATTAAACATAATTGCAATACATGCATATTAAGTATGTATAAAAGGTATCGATTGGACCATTTTGCCTCCACTACCTAATTTTCTGTCACTGTTCAAATTCTCTTTCTAATGAGATGGGAATTATAAAATATGGCTATGTTAAACCCACCCTCGAATAAGCAGACGTTATTTGGCATTCTACAGAATAATTCAATCAGTTAGAGGCCATCCAACTACGGGCTTGTACGGGTGATCGGTCTGAAATTATAAAGATGACTTCCAACTTTGTAATTTGGATTCCTTATCTGATTCGAGGTTGCAGAATTGCTATAACTTCGCCAAAATGCTCAAAACCAATCCCCTCACGAGGTCTTTTGTTCCCCAAACACGGTAAGAGAGTCTTGGCAGCGCAGATATCTAAGGTCATACAATAAAATTTCGCTGTTACCTGCAATAACCAACAGGTTTCAAAAAAATCCCAGACCCCTTTTTATTGACATTTTAAATAATTAGGTTATCTCCCACTCATCCAAATGTACTCATAATTACTAAAAGAAAATTACTACTTCAGTTTATGTATATATAAATGCGTTTATCGTCTTTGCCTAACAAGTTTTAATTTCCACTGTTTTATTTAATATATTCGCATTTCATTGACTATAAGGTAATTGTATTTGTTGTTAATAGCATATGCCACACTTTTAATTTGGCGTCAGGGCCAGGATTTGTGTGAAAATACTTTCGAATTGTATCTAAATTCAAATTGTCACTTTGTGTACAGATTCGATAACAATGCCTGGATCGAAGTGGACTTGGTTGAGAGTACAGTGGTGAGTGGGGTCACCACACAAGGCCACTACGATTGGTATGTTACGGAGTACAAAGTTGTGTATAAGAAGTTGCCCTCGTCTGACTATGAACCCGTGACGGAAGGAAACGGAAACGTCAAGGTATATAATTGTACAATTTGTATAGGCGATACGTTCATCACTGACAACTCAAAGTTTTCATTTTGTCAATTTAAGCAAGATTTGGGCAAGACTGTCTTTTGTTGCCTACATTTACGAGGTGTAACTAAACCGATTTTCTTTTCCTTTCTGAAAATAAATACCATATCGTGGATTGTAATTCGTTGTTCGTTTCAGGTGTTCATTGGTAACATTAATGGCAACACCCCGGTCACTAACTTTTTTGAGGAGAGCTTGGTGGCCACGGTAGTGCGCATTGAGACCATTGCATGGGTAGGAGAAGTCACCCTGAAGTTCGAGTTGCTTGGATGTCGACGTGGCTAACTCAGCTCAAGAATTTACTTCTATACTGACGATCGGTGTTTACATAATTTCATAACATAGATATAAATCAATTAAAAAATAACGACAATACTTTTCGGGCATTATCAAAACAAACGAGTAGAAACTGCGTGATTAAGAGAACCAAATCATTGTTTGCTAAGGAAAGTAAATAAGGCTGTCTCGGTCAAAGACATTATGTAAATCTAAATCGACGGTGTTCATATATGAATAAACAAAAACACTCGCAACATATGTTTATATTCTGCATGTGCAATATAAAGCAAATGAAAGGAAATGATACTAAGTAATAACAAAAAACAACAGTGACAATCGAAACTGTGGCGTAAATATCATTTTTGTTTTAAGTCCTTAAATATAACTTTCTTATTGATGTTGCAGCGACACATGTTGTTCAGTTGAGTTCTTTATGGTACATTTACAGCTCTTATTATTTTAGAAATGTATTTGGGTCGCGTTGATAGTGGTCAAGTGGTTCCACATGCATGTTGCACTCATGTGCCGCGGTACGTAAGTTCGAACCCTGACGGGGAACGCTGTGCTTTCTTCTTCGGCAAGACACTTCTGCATAGTCCCTGTGATAAGATAATTTTATCGCAACATTTTGTGATTAATCTTAATATAGTTTTATGTCATTGGGTACCTTGGAAATGGATTGAAATTGTTTTCTTACGCGATGAGGGCCTCAATCCATGTAGACACTATGAGAAGGAATTATGTTCACTAAGATGCCTACCGAAGAGATGGTGTTCAAACGTAACATCCATGCACCATCGTACTAAAAAGTTCAGTACTATGGTGAATTAATCAATTGAATTGCGGGGTTAATTAAACAATATTGAAAATACCATCCTAGCAGTACCATCATTAAAAGCAGCATGTTTGTAATGAAGATAACCAAATGTTTATTGTGCGCGAACGTTAAATTTGGCTTCTTTTTTTTGGGATGATTATTAATATGCACTGTGTTCATATTTGCATATTAAATAATTCATTCGCACTGTATTTGTACGTTGTTCAAAGGAGGGTTAGGTTATTTCGTTCAACACAGTTAAATTATGTACTGAAAGACAGCACTTTATTTCTCTTTATCAAATAATTAAACAGTTTAGATTTAAATTTTTAACATTTAAAAATTCTTTCTTAATCTCACTGAAGTAGGAGCGAGACATGTTGTTTGGTTGTAGTTATTAATTGTAAATCTAAAAAATATTACATTTTTCTCGAGTTGTAGATAGTTGTTTACCGCTGTACATATAGACAGCGAATTTCGTACAATCACGACACAACATGGTGTGTCAAAAATAGCGAAACGCAAACCCCAAAACAAATTGTACTTCATATTTAAAAGAAATATGTAGCACTAAACATTATAATGACTGGAAGGCCAATTTCATAAGCTACTATTAAGTGAAAAAAAAAAATGAAATTGCTCAATCCGTTTAAAGAATATCACCATTTACACAAAATGACCCTAAAACCTCAAGAATCGTCGTCACAATTGTCTTTAAACATCACCAGCGATAACACATCATTTTAAAAGTAAACAATATTCAACCAATTCTTTTTGAAGGTCAGTCTTTTTTTTGTAAAGTGGATTTCATAAATTATATTGTTTGCCTCTCCAAGGTTGTTAATTAAGAAATTGTGTACTGCACGCATTGACTGTCTTTGTTGTTTTAAACAGTCAGAATACACAATAAACTGTTGTGTTTTCTTTTGTTATGAACAGGCTTAGAGTCATCGCGTTTAAAGGAAGATATTATTTAAAGGGATTGAGCAATTTCAGCAATTTGTAATCCAAAATTAGCTAATGAAATTGGCTTCCCAGTCATTATTATGTTTGGTGCTTCATATTGTTTTAAATATGAAATGTATTTTTGTGGCTTCTGTCCCACTTGTTTTGACCCACTCTGTATTATATGTGTATGTGCAAAACTTGTATTTGTTTTGTAGGCTATTCGGTTGCAGATAACTTAACACCAATTTAACAAGAAACACAACTAAGGGAACTTGAAATGTGGATTTGCTTTTGGAGTGTGTTACTGCAAAATCCTTGATTTTATTGTCTTTAGATCCGTGGAGAGAACTCGCATCTGACAGCATCTGGTTTCACAGACAGGCGTTTTAAGTATGGTTAAAATCCTTTTTGTGCGAGCTCCCCAACAATTATTATCTGTTAAATCGTGCAATCCATGCATTATATGGAGGTTTTTTTTTCTGTATTATTGCATTGTTTTCTAAATTGCTTCGATTGTGTGGTTGGACTAAATGTGTATGAGCTGTTATGTTCTATTTTCTTTTGAATATTAAATTTTTCAAATTATCTAAATGTTATTTAGCATGAGTTGTCTTTTTTCTTTTTTAGCTGCGTTAAGTATGAAGTTAATTCTGTATGAAATTAGATTGTATAATTCATTACAATTAATTTCACACCTTTACCTCATTATTAAACCTATTGTCGCTATAACCATGCCAGACCTTTCAGTTATCATATCGATTGCATCTCCTTGAAGTAAAAACACGCCGATTTAGCCTGTCTGCTGTCACTCTCGTAATAGGCTGAAATCGGGGACTTGCATCCGGTGGTAGCATTTGAGTGACGTTTCTCGATTTCTTTTTCAATTATATTCTAAGTATCGCTCTTCATCTGCCATTGTTTTCATTTTGCTGATGTTTGATTTTGGTTGACACTGTCCGTGTATCCTGCCATTTGACGTAATTGTCATCTTACTAATTTGCTCAAAATATGTTAACAAAATATTGGCCGATGAAGATCAATAAGTGCAATTTAATTGTAACTAGAGAAACGTCAATCAAGTCTTTACTACCGGATGCAGTTCCCTAATTATCACCCTTTTACGTGATTGACAGGAGACAGTCTGGAATGACAACTATAATTACGTCAAGTAGGCCCGGTATATTATCCAGACAACAACTGAAGCCGCATAGCTGCAGAGAAAATGGGTCAAACAATGACGGAAAGCGGAGGTTTGATTGCAAATAGAAGTGGGTTGCTACTCTGTGCATGAAAACAGATCGAGCTTACGCAGGCCCAGTCGCCTGAAAAGCTAAGCGTTGAAGGCACAATGCCGTACACATTTCTACTACATGTAATATCATTTTGTGCAACATTCAATTTGTCAAACATCACTGCCGTTTCACATTTCACAAAATACACTAGTATTCCGTCTTTTATTTAAAAATGGTAACTATTTTAATATTCACTGCTGACAATAATCTCAACGCTTCTTCATATAGAACACTCTGGAATTGTGACGACAGATTTGTATTCTGTTCACGTTCGCAAAAAGAGCTGCACCGTTTCGTGATCTTTTCTTTAATATCACAACGACTGTTCGCAAGGTTGGTGCTTGATTGGAAACTCTCTGGCTGATACCAAGCCAGTGTTAGTGACTACGACAACCTGATAACTACCACGCGCCGCCACAACAGAGGCCTCTCCCAAGAGTGACGTGAGGCCAATTCAAACCGTTTTAATCGTGGAGATGAAGTTTTACGCGGCGCTTTCTCAGATGACTTGACAATGGCATCAGCATTGCTACCACGCACCGCCACAATAGAGGCCTCTCCCAAGAGTCACGTGAAGCCAATTAGAACCGTCTTCGTGGTGGATATGACGTTTACGCGGTGTTTTTGCTATTGACTTGACAATGACATCACCGTAGTTGCTCACACGAGCTACTGTGTGGTGCGTGCTTTTGGTGATATACGGCCAGCCTGGCAGCATCTCCTTTATTGCCTCTAGGAGAATGGACGCAGCAGTAGCTACGATTCTCTTCGTATCAGTAATGGCAGGTACGTACTTTTGTTCATGATTTCCCAAATCCTATGTAGGGATGCAACAGTGTTTTGAATTGTCTTGAGCATATCAGCGCGGGCAATATTATTCCCACGTGCCCGTCACTACTTGGACTTGAAACATTTCACCCCTTCCAGTTAGTTGATAATACTGTCTTTCTTTCAAGGCTTAATTGTTGGTGTAAATTGAACAAGCATTGTATGTTTGTCGTACCTTCATTTTGTCGCCTAAATCCCATAGACTTTGTACACGTTTTTTTTTTACTCTCAGTGCCACTGTTGGCATTAATCTTTGCCATACATCATTCAAAGTTACCACAGGCATAGTCACTATAGCAAAGTTGTATGCCGAAGAGTGACGTCATCATGACGTTACCATGGATCACGTGACGTCATCATAAATATGCATATTTTAAAGTCCTATATCTACAAAACTGCAAGTCCGATTGGGTTGAAACTCGGTATGTACGTAGGACGGGGTGTGTTATAGGTAAAAATTGCGGGGTGAAGTTATTATGACGTCGTTGTCTGATTTTATATAGATTTTTTAAGTTTTGAAAATTAGCGCTATATCTCTCGAACCCAACATGCTTAATTCAAAATGCTGTATTATGTTTTGTATTTTGTTTTCGGTATACGTACACAATTTTGAAAAATGTGTCACGTCATCTTGACGTCATCAAAACAAAACTTAGTGGATAGCTAGATAATGGTACTAGTATGCAAAATCCAAAATGACGTCACAATGACGTCATCGCATGATTTTTTTATGATTTTTTTTTCGATATTAATAATTTCATTCCGCTTCCAAAATTTACCACTTCCTTTCATTGGATGATTTCAAGCTTAGAACATACCAAGACCACAATGCAAAAATGAGCAATGACAAGTGTTATCAAGATGACGTCATCGTAAGGCATGTGACGTCATCATAAAGGTGCATGTGTACATATTGAGAACACTATCAGTCCGATTGGTCAAAATTGCGTATAAAGGTAGTCCGATACGTCTACTTTAATATGGATTCATTTCTTTTTGACGATTATATATCTCACAGACGCAACATAATAAATGGAAAAAAAAATCTTGTACCGTATACTTGAAACGTTGTCGTGAATAGTTTGGGATGTGTTATAAATAAAAAAAAAACCCAACATAATGAGAAAAGGCCCTATGTTCTGTTGCAAACAGACATTGATCTCTAGTTTCCCTTTGCTTTTATTTTCCCACTTTGCCCATTGGTTTTGTACACGTTTTTATCTTTCATCCACTTTTGGATCAGTTTTTGTTTGCAATTCGATCATCATCTGAAGATGTATGCCCAAAAATATTCATTATCGTGACGTCATCAGGGGTCACGTGATATTAATTTAAAGTTTCATTTGTTTACAGTCTTATAACTATACTACCTCTAGGTTGATTGATCTCAATATTATGTACGTATACAGACAGGGACGTGTTATCTATGAAACTTAGTATGTCAACGTCAAGTGACCCTTACTTTTGCTGTAACCGGAAACGTTAATTTTAGAATCTAATTGTCATATCTCGTGAATTATCAATATGATGGGATTGATACTTTACAGTATTATGAAGCAACCTTTGAGGATAATTTTGTTAAATTCTTATTATCGTGCATTTTATTGTTCTTATGTTTTGACTTCATGAATATTAATGGGGCAATTTCTGGCCGACGTATCATTACATCAACATGATAAAGTATTATTTCAGTTCTTTGCTCATTTTATTATAATTGGACAGAAAATGCACATTCTAAGGTCAAACTCATGTGACCCTTCTTTCCGATCGTTCTGGAAGTATTAAATGTGCACCCTACTTATCATATTTCACATATTATACATGTCATGGGATAGATTATATTCTCATGAGTTATACACTGTCATGCTTTGGGGTTGATATCTGAGTATGAAGCTTGAAGATGAATATATCATTATTAGAACTCTGCAGTATAATGTTCTCCGTTATAACGTCATGAATATATTATGGGCACTAAAATGAATCCAACTGCATTTATACTTGGCATACACTTAGCTGCAGACGTGTGCGGAACATTAACTTCTTAAGGACGGGGCATAATGGGGCCATTTCTCCATACAAGTGACCTGCATGACTGCACAGCCTTTGTGTAGTAGCAGGACTGCACAAAAGCAGCAGCTGTAGAACAACCCATTGGCTGCGTGCCACGGCATACCACAGCTGGCAACTGCATTCCCCATAGGGTTAGCGGTCATGGCCATTACCGCCTACCGTGCGCGAGGCGTTAAGTCACCACGACGCAAGGGCGTATCCAGAACACTCTTTGTTTGGGGGGGGGGGGGAGGCAAACATTTTTTGGGCCCCCAAAAAGTGGGTCCAAAAAATTACGGCGTGGGGTTCTGGGCCCGCTGAAGGGCCCGAATGTTTTTTTGGATTCTATGTTGTTTATGTTGTTTCCAATGTTGTTTTTAGGAAAAGATGGTGGTGTACTCATTGCCTGCCTTTATTGCAACGTCACATAAAAAAAAATTAAAAAGTGGGTTTTTTTGGAGGGGGGGGCATGTCCCCCTTTGCCCCCCCCCCCCTGGATCCGCCCTTGCCTCAACGTAATATCACTAGTCACGTGACGTCACAATATAGG